TTGTTTCCAATGATTTTGCTGAGGGCGATTCTTTCCAAGCTTCATTGCTTTTCCAACATGATTAGTGTACAATCTTTGTCAGTACCAAAGTGTCTAAAAATACAGTCATAGCTTTCTGATAATGCAACATTCCTAGATTTTTTTGTTCAAGCATTTTTTCCTAAATGATATCATATCTCTCTGAACATGCTCCCCCAAATCTTTTTTTTTATTTTGACCATGTGCTGTAACTGTAGTTATGTTTTCAGAAACTCTCAAGTAGTTTCTCTGTTTATGTCTCCCTAGACTACTTTGGTCCTAGTATTCTTCCTGGTTCTAGTGTTCTTTTTGTGACCCATAAGTACAGTTCCAGAGTTCAATTTTTTGGTCCCTGCAGCAAGTAAGTGAGGATTTGAACTGAGTACAATAATGTCAAATGCAGATTATACAGGTTTTCTGGGAAACCAAACACACTGCAAGCCTTAGTACACTAGTTAACCTGTTACAGCTACAGCATCAAAATCTAAGCATCGTTGGGTTACAACTAGGCGATGTCTCCCACAGCTCCCAGCACCACATGACGAATCAGCGTCCGACATCAGCAAAATGCACCGTGTCTGTCTTGGCTCAAGGAGAAGCCAGTTTACGGAGACGGTTTGAACGCCTCGGAGTCGGTGTAGCATCCACCTTCTCTTCTTCTGCTCTTGTAGTCTCCTGTTGAACAGAATAACAACACATCGAGTTAATAACAAGCTTGAAGCACTGTGTGGGAACTAAAAGCATGAAAATACACTTAATGTCTGGGGCATAATGGTAATGATAAGATAAATCTGAAGCACTGTGTGTGTGTGTGTGTGTGTTTAATTTATTTTCAAATGTGTAATGGATCAGACTATAAAGACTAGCAACGATGATGTCACATATCATAATAGTGGCCACTAATGTGAATGACCACCAGTCATTACACTTCCCCTGCGTGAATGCACATTAAGCTAACTACTTTTGTGTACCTGTGTAATTGGCAGAAAATAACACACCCATAGGGCCAGAAAACATGTTTGGTGTAAGTACAGATAATTCTAAAATTCACTTTTCAAGGAACTGAAATGCAATGTAATTCTAGAGAGGATAGCCTCATATGATGCACTCACTTCCCACACAAAAATGCAATGCCAAAAGTTGTCCTGAAAAGAAACCAGAATTTACCTTCTTTCTTGCTGTTTGAAGACCAGGGGTTTGCATTTTGTCAGAATCCTTTTGCGTCTTGACTACACGCTTCCTCGAAGACACGGATTCCTGAACCGTGACGTCTCCGCCATGCTGAATTGAGTCTTTGACAGGCCTCCGTCTTGAGCTATCCGCATCTACAAACGAGAACTCTCCGAGCAACTGAACCACCGGTGGCTTTGATCTGTCAGTATCTTTCTGATCCATAGTACTGCCATCTGAAGCCCTTTCAATGCCACCACCATCCTCTTGCTGAACTTTCTGATCATGATCCCTATGACCAATTGATGGAACATTGAGGCACACAGATTGGTCTGACTCTGACAACAAGGATTGCAGGGGAAGCTCCAAGCAGGCAGACGACTCTTGTTTGGGCACAATCCGTTGCACAGGTTGCTCTGAATGGAACACCGGCAGCGGCACAGTATTATGTGGAGCTAATACTGGCACTCGCCTGGTTGGAACTGAAGGCATACGTTGTGACACGGGCACCTTGACCTTACGAGACCTTTGGGAATATTTGAACATAACAGTCACAAGGCCTGCAACAGACAAGCATGCCAGCATCTTCAGCAAATGGGGTTCCACTGCAGCCCACAGTATTTTCACCATATCAACAAGTTTCTTGGCAGCTTTTGCTGTGTTCTCATACTCCAACGAGTTGAATTCTTGATCTAACTTCTCACTTTCCAAACCCTTATCATCACTCACCACCTTCAAACTTTCTGATTCCAGAATTTCATCCATGGTGACCGACTGTGGCATGGAGTGTTCTGAATCATCTTCCCCTGTCTCTTGAGGAACTAATCCTAGCCTGTCCTCATCCAAATCATCGCTGTGGGTGGAACCAAAGGGAGCTGCAGTGACATCTCCACCCGAGCATACAACTTCACTATTTTCTTCAGCATTCTCGAGTGGCCTCATGCTCGCTTCTGATTTCAGCTCGCCTATCCCAGAATCTTCGTTCAGAACATCCAAAATCTCGCTGCTCTCATCCCCGATTTGGCATGTAAATTCTCCGAAGGCAACATTAGGGCAGTCATCTGCCATTCCCATCATTGCAACTGCCATGAAATTGCTAGGTGAAGCTCCTGGGCCGTGCAAAAGGATACCATCTTCACTGTCTCCGACCACAGTTTGATCTATATCCGCCTCATGTTCATATTGAATTGGCCCCAGCAGAGGAACTACCTCGTGAACACCGACATCATACATGCTCCCATTCAATCCGACGAAACTGATGGGTTCTTCTGAATTAGTAGCAGGGAAGGGAGCGGAACTCATACAGTAGATGTAGCAGAAGAGGCAGGCCGAGGACAGGAGAAGCAGCAGCAGTCGCCGCGCCCAGCGGCCTCCCCGTCCTTGCGCAGGCACCACCTCCTCCTCATCGGCGTCGTCGCACTCGGAGTCGCTCCCTCTCGCCGCCGACGAGCCGGAAGACAGCACCTCCGAGAGCTCGGTGCCCGAGGTGGCGCTGGAGCTGTCGCCCTCCACCTCGCGCCCCAGGCGGAGGATGATCTCGCGGCTCCGCTTGGGGTCGTAGCGCAGGAAGTCCGGCCGCGGCGTGGTGTAGTTGGTCTTCGGGTCGTACGTCCCCGCCCCCCCTCCGGTGGAAGGCGGCGGGGTGAGCGCGGCCTTGGCGGGCGACGCGGCGCCCTCCCCGCGTCCGGCGCCGTTCCGCTCCCCCAGAACCTTCTTCCTCTGCGGGGACGCGGACCCCGCCGCCACGGGGCGCCTCGGGGTCGCGTTCTCGTCGCCCTCCATGGCTCTGGGGTTTCGTCGCGGGGAACCTGGCCGCATAAGTAAACAAATAAATACGGATCAATTAAGGAAGCAGCAAACAAGTTGGAGGGAAATCAAGGAGAGGATCCGTATTTACCTTGGGCTTGGGGGAGAGCTCGCTTGAGGGAATCCATGGCGGCGGCGGCGGGCGGCGGCGGCGTGGACTGATCGGGAAAGGGAGGGGAGGGGAATGGATTTGGGGGAGGCGGAGGAAGGAAGGAAGGAAGGGGATATTTATTTCGAAATTCGAACCGACTACATCGACCGAACCGACCGTTGGGGCAAGGCTACGCTACGCGGGTACGCGCTCTTCACACGTGCACGCCAGCGCGGCGGGCACGTGTTTCCTTGGCTGGACCCTGCGTTTCCTCTGAGACGTGGATCCTGTGTAGTATTTTTTGGGGACAATTGCATTTTTACCCCTAGTTGGTTCCTACTTATGGGTTTTGCCCTTACTTTTCGAGCTTGCTCAGTTTTGCGCTTACTTTTTCCATTGAGGTCCCTCGAATGCCCTTTGACCGTTTGACCAAAACTTTGAAAATTCATAACTAATTCGTATGAACTCGAAAAAAATGCAAATAAGATATCAAAATGTTCAGATAAACATTACCTTTATGGGCATATCATTTGCATTCAGGATAAAAGCATTGTTTAAACTACCTAAGGTAATTAATGTTATTAACATTATTAAACATAAATAGGTATAAACAATATTTTTTTCATGAATAAAAATTATACGCAAATGTAGGTGATGTCTTTTGAACATCCTGATACCTTATTTGCATTTTCATGAGTTCGTATCAACTTGTTATGATCTTTCCAAATAATGGTCAAAGTTGTTAGAACATTCATAACAAGTTGATACAAACTCATAAAAATGCAAATAAGTTATTAGGATGTTTAGAAAACATCACCTACATTTGCATGTAATTTTTATTCATGAAAAATATATTGTTTATACCTATTTATTTTTAATAATGTTAATAATATTAATTACCTTGGGTAGTTTAAACAATGCTTTTGTCCTGACTGTAAATGATATGCCCATAAAGGTAATGTTTATCTGAACATTTTAATATCTTATTTGCATTTTTCTGAGTTTGTATGATTTAGTTATGAATTTTTAAAGTTTTGGTCAAACAGTCAAAGGGCATTTGAGGGACCTCGATGGAAAAAGTAAGGGCAAAACTGAGCAAGCTCGAAAAGTAAGGGCAAAACCCGTGGGTAGGAACCAACTAGGGGTAAAAATGCAATTGTCCCTATTTTTTTTTACGGAGACGTGGATACTGTGTACTCCGTCCTTCCATCTATATATAGGTCTAATGCGTTTTTTAAACTAATTTTGATTAAATGTTAGAAAAATAATATATGACATGCAACTTATACGAAGCATACCGTCAAATTCATACATGAAAAGAGCTTTCAATAATATAATTTTCATATTATATATCTCATGTATTATTAATCTTCTCAATAGTTAAAGATGGTATTAAAAAACGGTTAGGCCTATATAAATGGAATAAGGGAGTAGTACTTTTCTTTAACGAGACGTGAATCCTGCGAAGTGTCTAGTAGCACCAGCTCTCACCTCACTGTAAATAAGCTTCGATCAAACTTTGATTTTGCTCATTAAGAAAAATTTGGTTGCTCCGTGACAAAGTCGTGTCGCACAGCGCTACGTCGCTTGTATCCGGTCACCGTGACTTTGTATCGAGGTACTTAGAGCATCCATAGCGAAAACATCAAATCCGGCACCTTGCATCCGCGGGCACGGACCGACCATTTTTTTTATTTTGCTGCGTTCGTACCCGTGTATCTTAAATCCTGCTCATTCATATCCATACAACACATGCACGTATGAAAATAAACTTTCTTTTTTCGACGGTACATCAAAGACGTACCTTAGCTTTATAGAAGGGAGAAAAGTATGTACAAGAGATTACACATGTGCTAGTTAGGGGTCACAAGTCGACCCTAACCAACCCTCCACGCCACTCCCTAAGTCTACTCGATTACTCTATATCTAGATGTCCTCCGAACGCTCCTGCTCTTGCCCAAGTCCTGAGATCATCAAAGATCATGTCCACCGTATCCCATTCGTTCTTGATCATTCCGGTGCCAAAGACCCTCGCGTTCCTTTGCTTCCATAACGTCCAACAGATTAGCATCACGAAAGTGTCAAAGCCTTTTCGGGATTGCTTATGTATTCGTTTTCTACCTTCTGACCACCACTGCACCAGCCTCGAGTTGTTAGATGGGCATAGGTCAGCCGTCAGACCCATCCTGACGATGCAGCGGAACCACACTTGCCGCGAGAAGACGCATTGCAGCAATATATGATCAACCGTGTCCTCCTCTTGGTCCCACATGTAGCATTGTGAGATTTGGTCCTGTAACCCATGCGTGGCTCTCCTGTCCGATGTCCAGAGACGATATTGCACCGCGAGCCACATGAAAATCTTGCACGCAAGAGGTGCCCAACACTTCCATATGGCCCCGAAGGAATGGAATCTAGTTCCTCCCTGACACAACATCTTGTACACCGAGGATGCAGTATATACGCCCGATGCACTCCAAGCCCAGATGGGACGGTCCTCAATTTGATCATCCAGCTGGACCTCCATGAGTATCTCCCAAAGCCCGATGAGCTGAGTGAGACCCTCCGTACATAGGTCTCCTACAAGATCATCCATCCATGCATGCATGTGCATTGCATCTCGCATGAGTCTCCTATTTGCTACTTGTGTCCGCACCTTTGCCACCACCAATGGGGCAATCTCTTTGATTGTTGCACCATGTATCCATCGGTCTTTCCAAAACAAGGTCTTGCCTCCGGATCCAACTTCCCACTTAACTAGGCTCCCACAGGCTTGATCCACTTTTTTGTCCGCGGTCAAATTGAGTCCTTGCTAAGGCCTAGACTCATCCGTGCGTCGGAGCCATTCCCATCTCAATCTTAACGCGATGTCGTGTTTCGACAGGTCAATGACTCCAAGCCCTCCCATGTGCTTTGTCCTGCACACCTTAGTCCATGAGACAACACATTTGCCCCCATGCAACGCCTCAGTCCCGGCCTAGAAGAAAGCCCTACAACCTTTGTCCACTCTTTCCAGAGCCCATTTTGGTGCCTCCGCGATCATGAGGTGATGTGTAGCGCGCGCCCTCATGACTTGGTTAACAAGTATGAGCCTCCCAGGCCTCGTCACCAGTTCCCTTTGCCATCCTGGCAAAATGTGTATTGCTGTATCAACAATGGGCTGCCACTCGGATCTTTTTAGCTGTTTTATGCTTAGCTGGAGCCCTAGATATTTGCATGGGAAGTTGTCAATCTTCCATGGCAGAGCAGACTTGACAAGTTCCTCATCCTCACTCCCAGCCCTGATCATGATCGCCGCAGATTTGGTATAGTTTACTTTGAGCCCTGATGCCACTCCGAATATGGTGAGAATTTCCTTGACGAACATGAGATCTGGCCAAGTTGGCTTTATGAAGAGCACCACATCATCCGCGTACAGGGACAAGCGCTGCATAGGGCTACATCCATTGATGGTCCTCAACACTCTGGCTTCATGCGCCTTGCTGATGATAGCCGCTAAAATGTCCATGGCAATACCAAACAGCAAGGGGGATGTTGAGTCCCCTTGCCTAAGCCCTTTGGCATGCATGAATTTGTCACCCGCGCAACCATTCACCAAAACTCTCGAGCTGGCAGTAGTAAGAAAAATCGCAATCCAAGAGATCCAACGCTCGGAGAAGCCTTTAGCCCTTAACACCTCAAACAAGAACGGCCACGCCAGGGAGTCAAAGGCTTTCGAAATGTCAAGCTTAAGCAACACTCCCTTGGCTTTCCTCCTATGCATCGAACGCGCCATTCGCCGAACCAAGAGGAAATTGTCGTGCAAGCATCTGCCCTTGATGAACGCGGACTGGTTTGTCTAAACAAGCTCTCCCATACGTGGCCTTAGCCTGGCTGTCAGCAGTTTGGATGCTATCTTGGGCATACTGTGCACAAGGCATATAGGTCTGAAGTCAAACACAACACTCGCTTCCGGGGACTTAGGTATAAGTGTGATCAAAGCTTGGTTAAGCCTTCAAAACCCCCTCCCGTTGCCAAGGAAAAGTTTATGGACCACCGCAACTATATCCTCCTTGATTATCTCCCAAGACTTTTAGAAGAATAGGCCAATGAACCCGTCCAGGCCAGGCGCCTTGTCCGAAGGTAAATCCTTGATTACCCCCCAAATCTCGTCTTCAGAGAACACACGATCTTGCTCTGAAAGGTCAATACGCGTGACACCCAGTCCCTCCAGATCAAGTGTGAAGTCTCGGGCACTATCCTTGCCGAGCGACTCTTTGTATGCATTGTAGAAAGCTTCCTCCTTGCCATTCTGATCTGTGATTTTGTGCCCGTCCATGGTCAAGGAGGGTATGTAGTTTTTCATTCGTCTCCCATTTGCAACCAAGTGGAACAACCGCGTGTTTGCGTCTCCTTCTTGCATCCAAGAGATTCTTGAGCTCTGTCTCGCAATGGTCCTCTCAAGGGATGTCAGCCCCAGCACAAGCTTTTTAAGCATCCTTCTAAGCCATCTCTCCTCCTCTGTTAGCGCTCGACTTTCCTGAGCACAGTCAAACCGCAAGATGACTATGTTGGCGATTGCAATTTGTAGTTTTATGTTACCTATCTCCTTTCGTCCCCATGTTGCAAGAGCTCGGGCTATGTTGCGGAACATTATGTCAAGTCGCATGAAGGGATCAGTGATATCCGGGTCGCAGACCCAAGCCTCCTTGACAACATCCAAGAAACCGTCCATCTTGACCCAAAATTTCTCAAAACAAAATCTCCTCCTGACATGCATGCGCTCATGTAGCACAAGGTGAAGCGGGTAGTGATCGGAGTACTTAGTAGATAGCACTTGCAGCAAGCAATCCGGGTGTTGGTGTCAAAACCGGCGGATCTCGGGTAGGGGGTCCCGAACTGTGCGTCTAAGGCTAATGGTAACAGGAGGCGGGGGGCATGATGTTTACCCAGGTTCGGGCCCTCTCGATGGAGGTAATACCCTACTTCCTGCTTGATTGATCTTGATGATATGAGTATTACAAGAGTTGATCTACCACGAGATCGTAGAGGCTAAACCCTAGAAGCTATAGCCTATGATTATGATTGTTGTTGTCCTACGGACTAAACCCTCCAGTTTATATAGACACCGGAGGGGGCTAGGGTTACACAGAGTCGGTTACATAGAAGGGGATCTACATATCCAAATTGCCAAGCTTGCCTTCCTCGCAAAGGAGAGTCCCATCCGGACACGGGACGAAGTCTTCAATCTTGTATCTTCATAGTCCAACAGTCCGGCTGTCCGAGGACCCCTTAATCCCGAACTCCCTCAGTAGCCCCTGAACCAGGCTTCAATGATGATGAGTCCGGCGCGCAGATTGTCTTCGGCATCGCAAGGCGGGTTCCTTCTCCGAATACTCCATAGAAGATTTTGAACATGAGAGTCGTGTCCGGCTCTGCAAAACAAATTCCACATACCACCGTAGAGAGAACAATATTCCACAGATCTAATCTGCTGACAATTTTCCATAGCATGACTTCACACCATGGCCTGATCATTATTCGAACCGCTTTTCACAACCTTCCACCGCACATATCGCGAGGCAGTTTTATCGGCACGTCTTGTCAAAGCAGAGATCGTGTCCCCTTATCACGGGATTCTCATCAATACGGGTGTGGGTAACCCAACCGTGCCATCAACATGGCGCTTGGGAAATATGCTAATTTACCGGGCAAGTGGGGAGGCGCAGGATATCCGCTGCCTTTATAAGGGTATAAGAACTCCCCTTTTCACCCATGCCTTCTTCTTCCTCTGCTCATCCATTCCTTTTCGCTCGAGCCCTAGTGCCCAAGTGTTCGTCTTCTCTGCCCAAAAAGGTTTCCCGAAAATGTCCAGATCCGCAGCAGGAGGCAAGTGGATGGCCTCTACCGTCCGGGAGAAGGATATCAAAAAGCTTCGAGTGCTGGGTATTTGGCCAAGAGAATTGGCCACTGTCTTCCGACGGCGGGACAGATCGTCCACACTCCGGAACCCCATGAGAGGGTGGTATTCCTCCCTCATTTTGTCCACGGGCTAGGGTTTCCCCTTCACCCGTCCGTTCGCGGCATCATGTATTATTACGGGATTGATTTTCATGATCTATCCCCAAATTCCTTCCTCAACATCTCGACATTCATTGTCGTGTGTGATGCCTTTCTCCGCATCCCGCCACACTTCGGCTTCTGGCTGAAGGTTTTTAACGTGAAGCCCACGGTAGTGAGCGACGAGCATGTCGAGTGCGGAGGCGCCATGGTGAGCAAGATGGCCAATGTTACATGGCCAACAGGTACTTTCAATGATTCTGTCAAGGAGTGGCAGCAGCAGTGGTTTTACATCACTGAGCCGCGCGGCAAGGAATGGGCCGCCGCTCCGGAGTTCAGATCTGGAGCCCCCCCGCGACTTACGTCCTGGCCCAAGAAGGGCCTGGACTGGGCTTTGTCTGACGAATTATCAGTGCTCCAGACGCGCGTCCAAGATATGGAAGACAAGAACATCAAGCTTGTCAATGTAGTCCAGGTGATGTTAGTTCACCAGATTCTACCTTGTCAACATCGGGCTTGCAATTTATGGGAGTTCGACCCGGCCAAGCACCAGACCCTGCTAGAGCTCTTTGGCTCCTCGCACAAGGACATCCGGAAGGTGCTTTTCAAGTCCGGCAAATCATGGCCGGACTCCGCCGAGGACCGCGGGTACCAACTGTCCCGCCCTGCAAGTTCGGTAAGTAATCGTACGTTGACAATTCATATGTTTTATTGGCATATCCTTAGGAAAAGGCTTAATGTATTTCCCACAACTTTCCTAGGGTTGGGCGAAGAAGGCGAGGCGGATCTACTGTCCGGCCCCGCTGCCAGAAGAACCGGCCGGCCCACTTCTGACAAAGATGCTGGTCCCGGCGCCTTATAAGGCACCGAAGAAGAAGGCCGAAAAGGAGGCCAAGAAGACCAGGGGAGGCCTCTGTCGCTGTGGCACTTTAGACACAAAATCCGAAGACTCCAATGCCCATTCTTCCTCCGAAGAGGACGAGGAGGAGGAGGGAGACGAATCCCCCGCGGGAGGAAGAAAGAAAAGGACGGCCTCCACTTCCTTGGAGGCCGAGTCTCCTAAGAGGGAAAAAACTCCCCTTCTAGAGGAGTCCACTGCCGCCGCCGATAGCAGCCCGGAGTGGGATCCCAGGGCCCAGCCCCTGG